GGACTGGAGTCACTGGGAGTCACTGGGATGGACTGGGATGGACTGGGAGTCACTGGGATGGACTGGGATGGACTGGAGTCACTGGGATGGACTGGAGTCACTGGGATGGACTGGGATGGACTGGGAGTCACTGGGATGGACTGGGAGTCACTGGGATGGCCTGGGAGTCACTGGGAGTCACTGGGGATGGACTGGAGTCACTGGGATGGACTGGGATGGACTGGGAGTCACTGGGAGTCACTGGGAGTCACTGGGAGTCACTGGGATGGACTGGAGTCACTGGGATGGACTGGGAGTCACTGGGAGTCACTGGGATGGACTGGAGTCACTGGGATGGACTGGAGTCACTGGGAGTCACTGGGATGGACTGGAGTTTACTGGGATCCATTCCCCATTCCCTGATCCGTTCCCCATTCCCGATCCCATTCCCATTCCTGACCCGTTCCCTGCTCCCCGTTTTCCCAGGATGGGCGGAATTCCCGCCAGGAATTCCCGGGGGGAGCGGCTGCTGCTCTTCATCGGCATCATCGATGTCCTGCAGTCCTACAGGTCACTCATCAATGACTGCTTAATTACCCGTTAATTAACCCGCATTTCCCAAGCCTTGGGATCCCCCTGGGTCACGAGTTTCCCCGGGGCTCTGAGTCCCGGGAATTCCATGGGAATTTCTGGGAATTTCTGCTCCATTCCCTCCCCACAGGTTCGTGAAGAAGCTCGAGCACTCCTGGAAGGCCCTGGTGCACGATGGGGTGAGTGGAAAACAAATTTCTATGGGAAAAGTGGGAATTTTCATGGAAAAACGGGAATTTCCATGGAAAAACGGGAGTTTTAATGGAACAAATGGGGAGTTTTACAGAAAAGCAGAATCTTTTGAGGGCAAAATGGCCTTTTTAAGGAAAAATGGCACTTTCTCATGGAAAACCCACAATCTTTATGGAAAACTCCCAATTTCAAAGGAAAATCCCTAACTTTTGAGGGAAATTCCACATTTTAAGATTTTTTCCCCCTGAATCCCTGGGATTTCCCACCCTGAATCCCTGGGATTTCCCACCCTGAATTCCTGGGATTTCCCCCCATGAATTCCTGGGATTTCCTCCTATGAATTCCTGGGATTTCCCACCCTGAATTCCTGGGATTTCCCCCTATGAATTCCTGGGATTTCCCCCCATGAATTCCTGGGATTTCCCCCTATTAATTCCTGGGATTTTCCCCCATGAATTCCTGGGATTTCCCCCTATGAATTCCTGGGATTTCCCACCCTGAATTCCTGGGATTTCCCACCCTGAATTCCTGGGATTTGTTCCCCTGAATTCCTGGGATTTCCCCCCATGAATTCCTGAGATTTCCCACCCTGAATTCCTGGGATTTCCCCCCATGAATTCCTGGGATTTCCC